GCCTGGGATGGAGTGGGAGGGGTGGGATGGGAACAACACTGGGATGGGATGGGTGGGAATCAGACATGGAGTGCCTGGGATGGGATGAGAAGGATGGGAATAACACACATGCACTGGGATGGAGTGGGAATCACACACACAGTCCCTGGGATGGGATGGGAGGGATAGGAATAACACACATGCACTGGGATGGGATGAGAGGGGTGGGAATCCCACACACAGAGGCACCAAATGGGATGAGCAGGATGGGAATCCCAACTGCCCCACACCCTGGGGGTGCCCTGTCTCTGTGCCCAGGCGTCCCATCTGTCTGGATCGGGAAGCACTGCGGGTCAGGTGCCAAACTCCATAAATTGGGGGGAGTTCCTTTGTGGGAAGGGGAAGGATGGGGGATCCTCCTGCTGGGAGCACCCGGGAAGGTGGAGCTGAGGATGGTGAGGCTGAAGCACCCCCGGGGGGGGGCTGGGGGGCATTCCCTGTGATCCCGGTTTCCGTGGGCAGCATTCTCCTGCAAGGCAGGCGAGTTCCTGGAGATGCAGGTGCAGTCGTGCCGCCCCTGCGCCGCTGGCACCTACTCGCTGGGCACTGGTGTCCGCTTCGACGAGTGGGACGAGGTGCCCCGCGGGTTCGCCAATGTGGCCACCAACCTGGAGCTGCAGGAGGGGCCCGGGAACACCGCTGGGAACTGCAGCGGGTGAGGAAACACAGGGGAAACCGGGAGCGGAAACCAGGAAACCAGGATGGGACACTGGGATGGGAAACCAAGATATGGGATGGGAAACTGGGATGGGAAACCCGGATGGGGAAAACAGGGTGGGACGCTGGGATGGGAAACCAAGATACAGGATGGGAAACCGGGAGGGGCAACAGGATGGGAAACTGGGATGGGAAACCAGGAAGGAGCACTAGGATGGAATACTGGGATGTGGCACTGGGTTGGGACACTGAGATGGGGCACCAGGCACCAGGATGAGACACCCAGATGGGGCACTGGTATGGGAAACCAGGATATAGAATGTGGCACTGGGATGGGCACCGGGATGGGAAACCGGGCACTGGGATGGGGCAACAGGAGGAAACCAGGAGGGGGCACCAGGATGTGACACTGGGACGTGGCTCCAGGATGTGACACTGGGATGGTGCACTGGGGTGCGAAACCAGGATGTGGCACTGGGATGTGGCACCCACGGGAGTCCCCACAGCACTCAAGGGGGTCCTCCTGGTTGCACCAACAGCCTCTGAACCCTCCCAGTTGTCCCAACACCCACCAACCCCTCTCAGTTCCACCAACAACCCCCAAACCTCCCAGTTGTAACAACCCACCAAACACTCTGGTTGTCCCAACAACTCTCAACCCCTCCCAGTTGTCCCAACAACCCCCAAACCTCCCGGTTTGTCCCAACCCCCACTCACCCCACTCCCCCGTGTCCCCCACCCCGTCCCTGCTCCCCGGGGGCCCTCCTGGCCAGTCCCCCCCCCATTCCTACCTGGAATGGCCGCAGGACCGTCGGGGGCTGTGTCCCCCCCCAGGTCAACGTGGGTGCCCCGGGGGGACTACGTGGCCTCGAACACAGACGAGTGCACAGCCACGCTCATGTTCGCCGTGAGCCTCAAGCAGGCGGGGACTGTCACCTTCGAGTACCTGTATCCCGACAGCAGCATCGTCTTCGAGTTCTTCGTGGGTGCCAGGGGGTCACCTGGGCACCTCAGGGGGTGCCTGGTGCCGTGGCAGGGGGCCCTGGGGGTGTGGGGGGGCGTCTTTGGACAAGGGAGGGGTGTCTTGGGACAGAGGAGGGGTGTCTTGGGACAGGGGAGGGGGCTCGGGAAGTGGGAGGGGTCTCTTGGGACATGGAGGGGTATTTTGGGACAGGGGAGGGGTGTTTGGGGACATGGGAGGGGCCTGAGGGACAGGGGAGGGGTCCTTGGTGACCTGAGGGTCACCTGAGGAGTTGCCTGGGACCGTGTCAGGGGTCCCTGGGGACATGGTGGAGGGTCCTGGGGACGTGGAGGGGTCTCTTGAGACAGGGGAGGGGCCCTGGGGACCTGAGATCACCTGATGAGGGTTGCCTGGGGCCATGTCAGGGGTCCCTGGGGCGTGGGAGGGGTCTTTTCGGACATGGCAGTGGTCCCTGGGGACATGGAGAGGTCTCTTGGGACACGGGAGGGGAAATTCCCTGGGGACGGGGGGGCGTTCTTGTGGACAGGGGGGATCTCTGG